GGCAAATGATAGCTATCATAACGCCTGCCATTTGAAATAAATAAATATTATTTGCTGTGATAGCCATGACATCTGCATTGATTTACGTTAATTTAGGCTCTGGGGGAAGAAAACCAATGGAATCGTCAACGATTTCTCAGAATCGATATACCACAATTCAGATCAAGTACACCCATTTAAACGAAGAAAACAGAATATGGCAACTGAGGAGAGAATAGGAAAGGGAGAGGTATAGAATAGAGCTCGGAGCAGAAACAGACTTTAATTTAAATTAACGACCCACCAAGTTATTTTTTACTCACATCTTATAGTTCACTTTTCAGAACTAAACCACTGTGGCATTCACTCCTCATTAGTGGTCAATGAATTAAGTCGAGAGGTTGGCCACATCGTCTCGACAAACATACTTCCTCCTCCAAGAAGCAAAAGCTCAGTACTTAGTACAGCAGATCCAACCAGTCATTAATTTTGCCCACTTCACGCTGTCACCCAATAGCCTCAGGGGACTTGTGTGGCTTCTCCATAAACTCCATTTGGCTCTCTGTGAGGCTCCACTTTCAGGCATTACTTCCATTTCTACTTCACCCATTCTCCAACAGGTCTGTAGAAAACCCACTGTCCACTTCTGTTTCTGGGCTTTGTACATGAGAATATTTAATGCCATGGCGTGTTCAGTACGCTTGTAGCAATGAGAAGTCACTTCCGAACCGATTCGATGGAAGCAAAACTATGCGATTCGAATGTCAGTCTCAAACAAGTTTGCACGGTTTCAGTACACACCAACACCGAAGGCAATACTAATAGCAATAAATTTGTATTAATAAAACAATGTTCAATCATAAAGCATCAATTTCTTGTTTTCAAAGTCACATCAACTTAAAATAGAGATTATGGAAAAGTTAGGGAAGAGGGTGAATATCTGTAATTGAGATCATTCAAAGCGCCTCTGACGTGACTTGTTGCTGTCCCAGACCGAGAAGTGTGGGAGGCAGGCCATCGGTGAGCCGTCTCAGTTGATCCAGGTACTCCAGTCTCAACTCGCTGGAAGCTGGAGGAGATGGGAGTTCCAAGAATACCACGGAGGTTCCATTCTCAACATTGCAGTGGGAGGATATCAAGGAGTTTAAAGCACCGACTTCTAAATTGGCGTTGTTGACTTCCACCACACGCACCTCGGCCTATAAAACAATGACAATATCACTTGCACAAAACGTCAAAATAGGTCTCCCGAGATAACTCCTATTTTCAGGATAGAAATATTAAAAATCCACTAAGCTCTTCAAGACCCAAAATAGAGAATGCTTCACCACCAAGTCCCGTTATCAGACAGCCTTCAAGTTGATCGTTAATACGAGATATAATTATCTCGTATTAAGCAATGCAATTCCTCATTTGACGTCAATTTCACCTATTTGCCTTGAAGGCTAAATTTCCACCCGACGCTCCACAAAATTGACGAATTAAATTCTCCAGAACAACTGCAATTGAAGTTGTGTATAGATGATGCATTAAAAACCAAAATTTCTCATATTCCCATCTCCTTAATTAAACCTTATCTTAAAATAGGATTTTATAACAGCTAAATTGCACCAACCAAATAAGTCAACCGTCAAGGCCAAGTTGCGAATCGTTTAATTTGCAAATATTTCAACAGAAATTTTTAAATACCAAATTTCCATTTGTGTCAAGGAGGGGAAAAAGATATGTCCATTTGCTGATATGAATAATTAATTAATTTAATCATAGGCAATAATGCATCGCATCATTAGGGAAAATGCTTCGCATCGATTTCTGGAAAACATCACCACCTTCTGCTCCCATTAATTGTGTATTGCAGTGCTTTAGGGTGAAAATGATCCATCAACAGGATGGAATGGCAAAGCTTTAATTGTCTTCTGCTAATCAACCCCAAATTATGATGCCTGTCCTTTTGGAGACGAATTCATACTTTTAAGGACGATAATAAGTTCATCTATAATAGTTTGCCACAGAAGTACACGAGTAGGGGTAGGATAGTAACGCTGCAGGCCCTTTTTATCGTTCAGTCTCCTATTCGCACCGAAGTCACTACGCTCTCTAATACCACGCTTCTGCGCAGAGATATGAAGTTAAAAGAGTATTGACTCAATCAAATGCATTTAAACCCCCCCCCCCCCCCCCCCCCCCCCCCCCCACCCCCACCCCTTTATGCATAATAACTTAAAGAGGTGCCTGGGAAAGGCCATAATGCGACTTTTATATTGCCAATTTAATGTAGAAAACATGAGCACGAGCAAGCGATCGCGCGTGCCTTGTCAACAATTTTTACTAAGAGTGGAAACAGTCAACAAGAGAGAGAAAGGGAGAGAAAGAGAGAGAGAGCATTAGAGGTAGAAAGGAAATGCGAAATCATACTAAAGGTAAAATCAATCACCACACCAATAATGCCCTTGACTTCAAGAGTCTACTGTGGGCAAACCAGTGCTATAATACAAAGAAAACACTGTGCAGCAAAATTAGTCAGACTAAAAGTGTACACAAAACTGGAGCTATGGAAAACCTATCGAGGCTTCAATGGGATCAGTAGTACGCCATAGCAGATGCGGCAAAATCAGACATTAATATCGATTCCCATCCGCCATACTATCGGAGAGCCAATAAAAGATAATTCGCGCAGTCGGCAAAGTAGAGAAAATTGTAGGCTGAGAGTTCAAGAGATGACATTACTTTTAAGAGAGGGTTCCTCTAATTAAACTTTCGCACCCGCATGGCAGATGTCATTCGCATCACCTCAACTTCATAATTATGATAATACGAATAGTACGTGAGCATTTTAGCTCCATAGACAACCACGATTGGAATCCCTTCCCTATAATCACCAAAATTAACAGCTATAAAGACAATTGGTTGCACACCTCACTACTTATCCTACTATTCTGTTCCTGTTAATTAAGAAAAAAACATCAACTTAATTTCAAGTGGAGAAAAGGACGAAGATTGACACCGAATTTCGAATCAGACGCACGTGACAATTAGGGTATAAACCAGGTGGCAACCGGAATGAATCGTACATGCATGTGGAGGGTGAATAAGGGACACTGAGATAAAAAATTGAGATCAGGCGTCACTCATTTCAACTCCAAGTCCCTCCACCATTAGAACTCCACTTGGACAAACTACTTTGACCTCTACTACCTTTAAATTATCCTCGCTAGAATAATCAAACAAGAAATATCCGCACGCAGAAGACAACCATTCAAAGCATTCCATGATCTTCGACATTTTCGTTCAATGCATAACCTTAATGAATGGTTGCATATTTGTTAACTGTTTTTATGGGGTGTTTATTTCAGTACAACGTGAAACCAAACTGCGTCTAAAGTAATTTTAACAACCAACACACACTCAGCAGAGAATTTAAAGTTAGCCTTAAAAACTTTCCACAAAAAATGGCTAAAAACTTCAATTTTAAAGATAGTGGCAAAAGACTGTTCATGGTTATAGCGACCGTCTGGCTAGTGCCTACATTTCCTCAGGGAGAAATAGTTGGGCAGACTTTGATTGAGCTGCAACTTAAATGCTGAAGGACCAGAAGTCGAAGGTGGTAAAGCAGAAGATAACGATGAGAAGAACGAAACGTTATTTCAACAAATTGAATAGAACACAAGCATGAACATAGAATAGCGCGCAGAACTGGAGCATGACTGCCCATAATACATTTAGTAAAGTAAAGTAAGGTTATAGGTTATTCGATGAGTGAATACAGAGTCCATATGAAGTCAACCGTAATGCATTCGGTTGAGCTAATTCATACGAAATTGATTAAAATTTTACAAAATTCACACTTTGATAAGACAGAGTAGGAGTGTGATTGAGACAATGCCACGTAGAGAGAGGTCAATAGCCCGAAAGTTGAAGACTGACTCCAAGAAGAAAGTCTGTGCACCTAATTAATAAATATAGAGGTCAAACGAATTCAACAAAGTGTGCCCACATTCCCAAGCTAATTTGAAATACAAGGGAAAATGAATTAGAATTTGGCATATACTCGTATGGTGTTATCTATTTAAGCAACCTAAAATACTCACAAAGTGCTGTAGATATGGTTTCTCTAAAAGACTACACAATTGAAGCGACACAAAGTAGCACCCGAGATATCAACATTCAATAAAATTCTCCCCAAAAAAACAAGATCCACGCGATCCAATTTTTTAAATGCTCAATAAGGAACTACGAGAAGGCGATCAAGAACAAAGTTCTTCTTTTCAAAAAATGAATTAAGAAACGCTTTTTTTCTTCTTAAAAAAACACGCTAATTGTCAATTACCATCCACCTGCAGTCCTTCAAACTACATGGAATTTCCAATACAAAATCTGTGGCCTTCAATTTTACCAGAATGTGCACGGTAGTGAGAACTTGTAAAGCTGATATACCACTTGACATTATTTCAACTTCACAGTGTGCCAACAAGTGCCAATGATACGTCATCAGTTCACAACATAAGCACTACCCATTTGGGCACTCCTTCGTTCGTAACAAGCAGATTCGTGAAAAAAAGCGGCGAGTCATAAGAAGCAGAGCAGGAAAGATCAATCGTTTGATTGAATAAGAAAAAATGAATAGACAAAACCTTGAGGGAAAATAAGACCTCGATATCTTCAAGAATGGTGATATTCCATGAAGCTGGTTGGTTGCTTAGACGTCGTCCTAGATGTGAAGGAAGTTTGAAATTAATCCGCCTACACAGAATGGTACTAGACAAATCGAGAACAAAAAACAAGGGGGGGGGAGGGAGAGGGAGGGAGGGAGAGTTGAGGAAGCTGAATCGAAAGGCATAAAGGAAGAGAGAGTGTGTGTGTGTAACCACCGCGCTATGATACTCAAATTATAGGCGCAACACAGAGCGTCCAGTTGCTCTTAATGAGACAACGCAAAGGCATTGTTTGCACTGGTGGTCCACACACGCCCATCCAGTTGGCCGTGTCGGAGTAGTGGAAGTGATCAAGGATGAAAGCTAGAAAAGGCTTTCTTAAATGGACTTGCGAGTAAGACCTATCGATTCATAGTCGCAAGTGGAGTGGGGGGGGGGGGTTGGAGGTAGTCTCAGTAAACACGTTTCATATTGGTAAGCTACAAACGCTACATCAGCACATTAAAGGTCGTGTGCATGAACACACCGTGTGACGGGGTTCATGCCTATAAGGTACTGAGTAGAGTAAGAAAGCACTTAAAATTCATAAACACCTCGTACTGATACTAAGTGCGCCTCACGCTGATTGTTCAGTGCTATTGAAATATATAATAGTAGAGCAAGCACAGCAATGGGAGGTGGGGGGGGGGGAGTGGTTCATAGGGAAATTTAAATTAAGATGGGTTAACAACAAACTAGCTCTGCTTTCTACAAATTAAATTCATCCCTAATTGGCAAAATATTTCACTAAGAACGCAAATCTTTGTTCCTGATAAATTTGTAGTGAAGAATGTTCGAGGCCGTTTAAAAAAAGCCCATCCAAAGAAATGAGACTTCAAGTAAAATTCATATAATGGTTTAAGGGACAGACTAAGCCGATCACAAGCAAAGCTCTAGAGAAGTCTAATTCATCGACTAAAGCGCCAAGAAATAACCAGACACACACACAATGGATTCATACAATAAGTAGACGCATTCCAAGGGAACACGAAGATCACGAGAGAAGGCAATACGCAATAGAAACCGCCAGGCGATAAGAAGGAAAATCCAAAGTGAAAAAATGGTACTCTCCCTGTGTTAGCATACATGCTGCAGGCAAACGGTCAGTGATTTCAATCACAGCGGCCTCCAAGATAATGAATTATTGTGGCCTATGTCTTAAATTAAGGACACAAAGTGTCCTAGTTACCCCGATTTGTTTACGGACTGCCTATTAAAACTACATGAAGCAGATAACCAAAACCACAGGTTCTTCCTTAATTAATCCAATGGAGGGTATTCAAAAACGCCCCAATCTTTCAAATTTGGGGGTTCACGAAATAGCATATGGAGTGGTCCTAGGGCTCACCCATCCATTAGTTTAATAATGTGGTACCGGGGTTTCCCGAAAGTCGCGACTATTAGGGGCCACAAGTTAGAATGCAGTCCTACAGCTTTTCCCTATTTGGGACTGAAGATTGACTCTCCACATAAGGGATCAGACATTCCGAAGGCACAATACGCACACACTAGACACAAACAGAAGTATAGTGCATTGTGCTCAGCGCTTCGTGTTTCCTCAAAATATACTTCTGTATTAACGCACATAGGCGCTTATTCGAGTGGAGGGGGGGGGGGGTTATTTGGTTCCAACATGGTTTCATGAAATGGAATTTTCAGTTTAACCGCCCTAGACGGATCTTCAGAAAACCCCGGAAGTAATTAGGAAGACCTGATCAGCTACTGCTGCAAACATTTCCATTTTGCATCATGCAAAACAGACTCACTTCAATTCGAAGTCCCTGAAGCACTTCCTTGACTTGTTTCGTGATGTGAAAATCCGAGAGTAACTCGGAATTGGGGACAAATACCCTAATCCGAATGGGCCGAACACGCCTTCGCCTCACATCTGGCGCTCGTCCAACAAGACAGGCGAGTTGAAGGAGAAAGAAACCACTCATGCTGAAGAGCTGATTCGGCTCCTCCGAGGCTGCTATCTGGGATAAATTGGCGTGGAAGAGCCGCGGCGCTACCAACCAGACGTCGAGATAGGCAGGTTTGGCATGGATGAAGACACTCCTTCGTAGGGTTTCTGGAGAACTCATCACTAATTCAAACTCGTCACATGCGAGAGAGTGAAAACCACGAGCCAGAAGGATGTTTTTCTATGGAAGGAGATGGATGACAACGAGTAAAAAAATGCAAATAATTTAAATTTGGATGAAGTAAAGAAGGTGAAATGGGCGCTAGCACCACTTATCAATTTAAAATAAGGTGTTGCGGCAAGTTAATGATTATTTTAGCACTGACACAACGATCAGTGGGCTTAATTGTGAAGTTATGGGTTCGATGCGGATCTGTACGAAACCAGATTCATTTTGGTCAGTTAAAAGAGTGGCATAATTCGAGATCCTGATGTGAGTGTTGGAAAATAACCTGTGAAAGATCATGGAAATTGCATATTGGCCAAAATGTCTTGCATAATTTTAGAATCCAACTTGGCTTCAAGGCAAGCACGCACCATCACTAAGTTCTCACTTCTATAGGCTCATCAAGCTATAATACAGGCCCTTTACTTCTAACTTCGGTGGATAATTGCCGCGGAAGGGGAACGCAGAAGCCAAGTGCCACAAAGATAGGTTAATTGATGACAGAGACTGAAGGTTGACCTTTAGCCCAATCAATTATTATGAAGCATTCTACAATGTTATGAAGGGAAAATTTATCCTCACTAATTAATTGCGTCTTAAAAAAAACAATTTTAAACTAGTGATCGAAGAAATTGCGTTATTTCCAAGCTCTAAAGTAGCCTTACATGAGGTGTTTATCACCATTATAATACAACAATTAACGTAACGCCTTTGTGCATCTTAACCTATCGTAACTCAAACCTTGTCCGTTCACATTTAACTTCTTGTTGCAACTCTAATCTAACTTCGTCCAGGATGATTCCAATCTCGAAGTGTGAGTGAACACGGTTGTGTCCACTGGTAACTGCTTCGGTCTTCCCAAATGTGGCGAGGATTATTCTAACTTGAAAACTTGGCCATCTTCCTATAAGCCTACAGCACTAAAGAGATTAAAAGTGATTGGCTTGTGGCTTTACGAAAAACGCAAGCCATACCCCCCCCCCCCCCCCTACAAGGGGTTTCAAATGAAGCGCTTCTCTCCCATAATAGTCATAATTAGGCGTGTTGGTAAGCCCATTGAGCAGACACACGCGTTCACCAAGCAAAGCTTTCGTGTGTGCGTGTAGACTTCAAACCCCCCATTGCATTTAAACTGAAGTAAAATACAATTACCCCTCTTTTTAAGAGGAATATAAAAACAAGCATAAATAAGGGGTGTATGCTGGACCTAAAAGCGATATTCTGATCATTAATTCAGATGAAATAAAATGGGGGGAGGGGAATTACAGCCTCCTGAATAGTTCCCTTTAATTGATTAATCTAATTCACTTATACTTTCAGAAATGGAGCACATTGTTCAAAATCCACTCTATTGCCATTCTAGCATTGTGAATAAATATATGATCGACGAACAGGAAAAAATCTGCTCTCAGAATGGTTTCACGTATGGGATGCAGATCCATTTCCACGGAATGGCTGAGCCGAACTCAGTGACACCCAGATCGTTAAATCAGGATTGAGTTGAAAATAAAACGCGAACAAATGCGTATTCAATGCTGTCCCTAATGCACTGATAATAGGTAGTATGCAAAATGAGACTACAACCTTCAAATATAATAGCACTTGCTAAAAGGCCTTGTGCAGATACCCAATTATCTGCGATTAGGTCATTAGTTAAATGGCATGCGATTAGGCGCCGCCTGATAATTAGTGCATTTGGCTAAAAAGGTCCAAAAGATAGGTACAGCGATCGCAACCCTAAATGTAGAACGAGTACTTGTGGCTTGTCAAACGAAGAGATCATTCCCATGGGAGAAGTGGAAAAAGAAAACAACTCTTCGTTTATGGACTAAAACGACAGAAATCAGACCCACCCCCCCCCCCCCCCCCCCCCGGCTCCCCAATTATATGAATACATGTAGACAACTAGGGGGTCGACAATTAGGGGGCATAGGAGGGTTGAGCATTAAGCCAGAGTTGAGCAGCCTAGAAATATAAGAAAGCGCTACGCGTGTGTCACACCACTTATCGGTGAACGCAGTGAACACTCCTGAGAACATCAGAAATTATAATACGTTGTCGTCATGATGCCTACATGATGGATTTGCTATTTATGCAGTGCCAAAGAGGCAAAAAGAGCAAATGCTTCCAAAATTGCTAACCGCAGGAAAAAGAAAGAAAATCACAGCCGATACAGTTGTAGTAGTGAAAGTGGGATGTAAATTAATCAACCAAAATGAAAACCTTCAGCGTGTCGAAATGAATAAAAAATATTGAACCTTTTCAATTAATAAACTGGGCATATTCCCTGCAAGCGAATAAGAGAAGAAAATGGACCATTTGAGGAACTTTTCAAGAGATATTAAAGTGAATGAAGTGACGAAACAATGACTTATTAATGGCTTGAAGGAAGAGCTCAACAAGTACGGTAGACCTAAACACATTCGCCAAACGAACTATTATCATTGGTTGATGAAAAATCTTTCTTCCCAAATCATCAAGCTAATTAAGTAGCGGAAGAGGAAAAATCATTGAAGCCCCTGATTTGATAGTCAGTTAAATTGTAAAGATATTCTCAAGAATTCCAGGCCTTAAAATTCACCTTCATTTTGACAAGTTCCTGAAGAAGCCCAACATAATCCTCTTTGGAGATTCTCTTCTGTCTGACTTGCATTGGTTGATCCCATTGACGTGCCTCAGAAGTAGAAGGAGGCGCTTGGGCAGACGAGTAGGCACACCTTGGTTGTGGTAGAACCTGGGAAAAATCCGAAGCATCTAGAAAGAGAGAGAGAGAATGCAAACAAGCATCACCAACCACGATTAAAGTAGCATATTTCTCAAGTCTAACGCTACAAATTTGGGCAGAGAACTAGGGTTAATCACCTCCAATAAGAACTATCCAACATGCACTCAAGTGCTCTTAAATATCGATCACCTATATTCCACTATAGAGTTCCTATTGGATAATAGTGCGCGCCCAACTGCACATCGGGAAGTGCACAAATTCCATGGCTCTATCTGGCAACCGGAAGAGTTCCTGCGAAGGCTTAAAACTATTGCAGACAATGTGCTGGAAATTACGAGTGATGAAACATTCTGGGTTGACATAAAACCGCAACTGGATCAGCCATCTCGCCAAATAAATGATCAAAAAATCAATCAAGTGAACTCCTTCTTGGTTTTTCAGTTGCGGATGGAGTTTTAGCCGAAGATGGTGCAAAATTGCCAAAATTATATACTTTTAGTAAAAGAAGAAGTTGAACCAACGATTTTGCATGTGTTTTAGCCGTTTTTATTTTCATACAATTTGGTTATAAACGCATTTGTTGCAACACACTAAAATGGTGTGGAGTTATTTGCTCGGCATAATGTGGAGGAAGAAGAGGTTTGCTTGATTCTGTGTTATCATTAAGTAAGGGGAATTGTAGACATTTTGGAGGCTACAAGACCACGACGGGCGGTAATAATTAAATTGTCAGCCATTTTCTGCATTGTCAATACCTAAGTTTCCTCAAGCTTCCCAATAATCAGTGATGTTTTACAATTGCCTGAGACATTAGAGGTGTTTCATGCAAAAGTGAAAGTTCTTTAGGCTAATGCTGAAGCATTCAAACAAGATAGGATTAAATCTCTTGCAACTACTTAAAATCTCCACCCTACAGCCGATAATTATATCATCCGTAAATGGCACGGACCCTAAACCAATTAATTCCTCTGAGTCATGGTAAGCAAACATGATTGTGCACTTGTGGTTTATTTGCCAACTGGAATAAGGGAAACAAGTTTGTGACCTCATCAGGAAACTGGGTCCTGTCGAATGTGAACTCTCCCCAAAACTCAGCCAGGGAATGCAATTGACTTATTTACTCTGAATTTCATTAAATAAGCTTTTGGTCAGAACTTCTTCTTCGACAGTACTCGCTTAACCCCCCCCCCCCAACTAATGGTTGTGAAGGATAACGATATGCTTTACAAGAGTCGTGATTGGTTTCGTCGCCTTAGCAAAATAACAGTTTAGATGTTCGAGTTTCATCTCCGAATTTACTGAGAAACCTCGGTTACCACTAATAAGGTGGCATTCAGCATGAAGGCATGAGAAATGATTAAATGGGGGGTTAAGATGAGTAATCTCCTGAGAGAGTCAACTCTCACTACTCCCCTTTAATGAACTTTTACTTCCTGTGTCTTGTTAATTCGTTGTTAAACTTAAGAGCCCTTCAATGGGTGGGAAAGAACTTTCCACCTTTTACATTTCCACCCCCCCCCACCCCGCCACACACCTCCTTACAACTCCCCTCATCCCTTTCACGTTCAATCTTAGTTGGAGCATTGCATAAATGCCCCATCTCTCATATAATTTCCGATAGTTTGAATAAACAGTTGTCCACTAGTTCCATTCAAGCAGATACTCACATTAAAACAACCCAAACATGGTTAACATTAAGTGTTTCAAGTTAGTCATTCTAAACAATTAAATGTGCAGTAAAAGATTCTGAAGTTGCAACCTCTTCTAATTATTGCTAGTATTTACGACGAACTGGCAAAATATACTGCTACTTTGAAGCAAGTCAAAACGAAAGGGATATTTAAAAAATAGGTGCAAAGAGGGAGGCGACTTGACATTTTAAGGCAGAAAAGATCTTTAAACAAATTATCTCAATTGCGCAGGCAGAAGAGTAGGCGAGTGGGAGAACATTTTGTCGCCATAAATTGCCACTTTTCCCCAAGGCCCTGAAGACTAGTCTAAATGGTCTGGCGGAATAAATTGCTGATATTAACCGTAATTTTGAGCAACGTGTTCACCTGCGAAGATGTTAAATTTGGCAAGTAAGATGGATAGTAGAATTCGCTCTCCTCCACTAGTCTGAAGGCGCCACTACTCAACCGAAGACGAGTAGTGAAAAGTGTTAGTCTTTGATAAACGCCCTCTTAGTTATATGCTTGAACGCTCGTCACAATCAAGCCGTAGTTTAATGACTATTGGTGTTCACCTGACCGTGCAGTTTGAATAATGCTAATTTTGGAGGCATAACTGGTTCTCCCCACATTACAAACACTTGCTGATGAGTGCTGATCGCAGTTAAAAGCCATGTGTTTAAAGCTAAGAGACTGACAATTTGTATCAAAGGTTGAAAATAATCGTACGAACCTGAGATCATATGGTAGAAGAAATCTTTCGGCTCCAGCTATAACGATTTCTCCTATTCCAACTAAGTGGACTTTAAATTGCATGCGATTAGATGTTTTGCAACAATAAAAATCATTTAATGCAGCTTATTTCACCTTTGTTAATAATGGAAGAGAAAACTCACGATTAATTTGAGGGGATTCGGATTCCTCATCAAGTAGAAGATCAACATCGTCGCTTTGGGAGTGGTGATGAATTTTGGGTTGGAAGCGGGATCTTTCGAAAGCTCTCGATTGACGTCTAAAACGAATCTTCGCGAATGTATCCTTTAAGAAAAAGACGGTACGTAAGACTCGTCGTCAAAGGATGACAAAAAAATTTTAATTGATCGAATTGGACTTGGATCATATCTTACCATGGGATCCGAATCGTCATAGAATCCTAGGCATATCGTATTTGGCTTCATAGCACCGAGACCAGAGAGTCGAATGAGGTGGAGAAGAGCATCGCAAATGCTTCCAACAGCCCTGGTCACCTCCACAAACGCCTTCACTTTCAGGAAACGAACATAGGTGACGAGATTTCTGCAAAGATACGAAGACTACTTTTAAGCGAAATCCTTCACATTTAACTGGGGGTGGTAACTACTGTAATTTAGTCTTACTGGCGACAGCTTTGAGTCATTTGTTGCAGCCTCTGCTGTTTGCACTTTATTGATTTTTTACTTACTGATGGACTACACTGTTTTGCCTTAATCGACACCAGCTCAATGTGGGGTCGGAGATAATGAGATTGGATTAAAAGTTCACTAACCATGGCTTTAAAAGGTAGGCAATTGGGGAAGGAAGACCTACCTCAGAGTACTTCTTTTGAGATTATGAAGAATTTGACATTAGCTACCCACCTGTGGAACAGGGTTTATTGAAAGAGGAGATTCTATTTCAGAAGATACCAAAGCAGAAAAGCGTATGCACATTAAATTGTAGCTCTTTCGAGCTTTATGTACTCTCAGAACGAAACCACGACCAATTAGGAGAGAAAGGCAAAAACGAAGATGCTGGATAACCTGGGAGGATCGATAAATAGTTTACAGACGGACCCATTAGTCAGGTACAGGTCAAAGTGGAAAATAGGAATAAAGGCGTAAGGGGATTTGGATAATCTGAAGTAATGACACGTAATCTAGGGGGATATACTTTCCACAACCGGATCGGAACTCCCATATGTAGGATTTAAAAATATAAATCAGAGCCTACACAAGGGAAGTCAGAAAACCTACTCATATGCAATCGAACACGCCTCTTCATCGGAATACGCCGAGTCTGAATCAGGAGCGACAACGTGACCGACAACGTAGAGCCCACCTTTCTTGACAGAGTTGACAAACTGCACCAACACAGCCGATGAACGTGGGTTTGCAACGAGCAGCAGGATTTGTGGACGCCAATACTTGACATGGTCTTTTGAAGTATCCAACAAAAGAAGGTATTTTCGAACCTGAAATAGGGCAAATATTCCTGAGAATAAAATCAGCCGATCAAAATCGATAAGATCTCGACTAGAGCAATCATAGGCGATCCGACAGGGTGTGTATATTTCCATCCAGGAAGATAAACGGATATGACTCATCACGCCGTTGCATGACCAACGTTTTCCAACTACTTCCGTAATGATTCAGGAATATTAGAGGAGTAACATGTTCTTTCTAAAGTAGGCCCGGTAAACATTATTAAGCCTCTTCACCCACATTACTAGTGTCCAAACGCTGCGCCTTCCAGTAGGAATATACCGATTCAAGATAAATAGAGGAATCCCTCAGCTACTCCTATCTCAAACAAGTAGGCATATCTTATTTGCATATTCAAACATAATAATTCTTAATAAAGTACCTTCTAGATAGACTGTAATATCCGCCTTATACATTAATACTTACCACATAACCAATTCCAAAACACTCTTATCTGCATTATAGATGATGGTCCAACATTGCTGGAGAAATGTCTAGCTCCTGCAGCCTACAGGTAAAGGACGCAATTATGCGGGCGTCATCTGCAGAGAGAATAGGTCCTGAATACCAGGCGTTGGCTTGAGTATTAATTTGTCATTGGATGAATCATCCCACCACCCAATTTCCCTAGCGCAATGTCAAAGCTTTTTGGCAAACCGGATAGTAATGTAGCATTAATAACTCCGAACGCAGAGAGGGTCAAATGTCTCTCTTAAAGAAACCTCAATTTACATGGGGCAGTTTTAATTAGACACAACAACCTGAATTAATGTGTTGATTTGACAGCGCTAAATTATCGATTCATTAATATTTAAAATAAATAAGAGTTTGGTCAACTATACGAGTACCTTAGCATAAACTGATCTAATGGGGGGGTTTTAAAGAGGAACTTCAGACCCAACCCTGAGAGACGTTTCATGGAGTACCGGTAATAAGATGCTCAAGTTCTTACTCTCCTGCCAAGAGCTAGTCAGGCTCTATTAGTGGGGGGGGGGGGGGGGGGGGGGGGGGGGNNNNGGGGAAAGGGGTTATTGCCTTCACAAGCATGAATATGACCCTAACATCGATTTTTCCTCACATCAAAGTGCAAATTAACCAAATTTCATCCCAGTTTAGAGTAAAATTTAACTGTAAATCTTGATTTGACTAGAATAAGCTTCTTCGAGCCAGTTGAAGAAAGTGTTAACGAAATTTGACTTGAATAAAGGAGGTAAATTAATAAAAAGCAAGGCTCCAAAAGTGTCAGGGTCATTGATGAGAGGTACCACCCGTTAAGTAGTTTCAAGGAGCCATTTCAAGTACTAGAGAGAGCTAACGGAACAACTTTATTCAGGAATATTGAATCAACATTCCACTCCATATTCTGTTCTCTTGTGATCTCAGCCACATAATGGCGAACTGTTTTCGTGAAGAGAAAGAACTACCAAATCCCCCTGAGTAACAGTTGTCCTAACAACTGTCCAGTACCATAGTGATAGGTGTGATTGGTCCTCCACATAATGAAAAATCCCCCTTGAAGATCGACCGTGTAACCTTTGGTTCAACATTCAATCGCTTTGATTGTTGCAACATCAGCACATTCCAATAAACCAGTGTTTAAAAAATTGATACCTCCCCCCTCTCCGAAAACTTACTTTAGTTCCCTTTAAGATAACTCTTAATAATCCAATCTATTTCTCCACTATTAGCAAGTGCCTATTTACTGTAGCCCACGCGGTGGACTTCTTTCAATCCCATTATCCCAGTTATTAAGCCGTTTTCTTGTCTTGCATTTGTCGCCTTTCCAAGCACCTGGACATTCGAAACAAACCTGATGATAAATGAGTGCCTGGCCGATATCACCCCAAGAGACGGGGAGTTGTCGTTTGTGAAGACAGACGACAAGAACTGAAAGAAGAACCATCGCACCGAGAGCGTAATAGGGTTGGATTAGAAAGCACATTGTCAAACAGCCCACCATTCCAAGTGTTGCAGTTGTCCAGTGAAATGACTTGAATGTTGGTCTGCAAGAAAAAATCCCAATAAGTAAGAATTCCTGAAACCAATGTCATAAACTTACATTCTTAGGCAGGGGTGTACGATAGACTTACCTCCTCGTGGTGCACCCTGGGCAACTTATGCTCATACGGCAAAAAAGTCTATTGACCGGCAGTTGACTTCAAACTACCATGACCCCACTGTATGTCATATTTGATTACTTCCACATTACTCACCTCACCTTTTTTACCGTTGTGTCTATCTGTCATATCTTTAAAACACTCTTCTATTCCACCCCCCCCCACACTCTCGACTTTTTTTCTCTTTGATGCTCCTTCCCCTCTGTGAAGCCTGAAGTCAACTAAAGGGCTCATGATAACTATCAGAACGCCTGCCATTTGATATAAATAAATAAATACATTCTTAGGCATATTTGCTTTCCAACCGTTAGTCAATACTGGATACGACGACTCCCTATATCAGCTAATACCATCTTAGGTAATGATACAACTAACATGGAATAAGTTTAA